AGAATGAATTGGAATCCAATAAGGAAATAATTCAGTAACAAATAATTTAAATAGGAGGTCCCTTACTTTCAATCACAAACACATTCGTCCAAATTTCATTTTGAAGAGGATGCTTCGTTTGAGCTGGTCAAGTCGCATGCCGCGAGCCTCCAAGCAGCAAAAAGCTAGATCCATCGGGGAGGTTGCATATATATATATATATATATCATACTATATATATATTTAAATCATACGATATATATGTATGTATATATATAGGTATATATATGTATATATACATATACTGTGTGTCTTTTGGGTCACAGTGTGGTTGACTGGTTTTCAAGGCATCGAGCTTGCTGTGTTCTCCACACATACGTACCAACAAAAGGCAAACCCACACACAAAGTGTGCATCGCCGTTCCTCGTGCTCCATCACGTGTCTAAGTACGGTAGATCACCCCATTCAAGTTGCTTTGTTGGTTTTCTGGAAACCTGAGTGTGTGCGCATCAGAATACCAAGAGGCTACTCACTGTGTGGCTACAAAGTTTGCATGCCCTAGCTGGTGAAGGGCGGCTCAGGTGTTCTCTCTCCAAAGTCCCGAGGCTTCCTTCTGGCTTCTCCTTGAATCTGTCCCACAGGGTGCAACTGGTCTCGACACATAGCTGTCTTTGTAAAGACAAAGGCCAACTTGACAGGAACTCGCCCAGCCGAGTGAGCCTTGAGTCGATTTGGTAGCTCGAAGTACGCATACTCCCGGCCTCAGAATGCAGATGTGTAGGTACCATCCTCCAGACATAACATGGATGCGAGAAGGTACCTGAAACCTGATTCGCCTCTGAAGGGGATTTCCTGTAAGTTTTATGTCAGTGCACGGGTGCTAAAATTTGGAGAAGACCTGCTTCGGAACTTGCTCTTGAAGGGACGCCAAGAGCAAAGCAATCATTTGGAGGGGTGCCTCTGCCTTAGAAAGAAACTAAGTGGCAGGGGATGTGCTTCAAAAAAGACCTGAGCTGATCCGCATAATAGCTGGCTTGATATTCAACTAGTCAAGATGGTCTTTCGAAATGGCCCCATGCTAGGAGTGGCAAACATGAATTTGTGTGATCGGAAAAGGATGGAGGAACAGACTCCTAGCACATTGTGCGTATCAGCCTTGAACAGGGGCCTGTTCAAGCTGTGGCCCTCAACAATCCGACGCCAGGGCACAAGCACGAACCACTTTATTGCAAAGCCCTGTTTTGATATGAAGAGGTCAAGCAGAAGATACTATCTTGACGTATTCAAAGGCCCCTTGCAAAACGCTACAGTGTTCCTGAACAGCACCACCCTCCGGCCAAAGTTAATGTTCTTGCTCAGAAAGCCCATGTAACTCGGCTTCAGATGGGGCAGGCATTTCACATTTGATGGTCAGCTTGATAGCCCATATCCTGGCAGGTGAAAAAAAAAGAAGCACGTTCTGCTTGTAGTAAACCACTCGAGGAATCCGTTCTGCAGGATAGGTCCCAATGTGAATCACCAATCCTCCGGTGACTGGCAACGTTTGAAACTTGCGACGATCTCCCCGCGAACTCCCTGGCTCTGCGAACCAAGTGCCCCTGCGATGCGCATCGGGCTTGTGAATGTCCGTAGACTCGCCCAGCGAATTCATGGGCAACGCAGACCTTCTTGAGGCAAGGTTGAGTGTTCAAAATTCAAGAGAAAGCGGCTCGCATGAGCGCATAGGGCACGACTATTTATAGCGGAGAACTCATTTGCAAAAAAAAAAAAGATGCCACCAATGCACCAGGCCACACAGAGCTGCCCCTAGTGCAAAGTTGGATTAACAGCCAACCGAAACCGGCAAGCAAATCAAATCACGTGGTGTTTGGATATGGGGCCTGTCCTGGCGGAATCCCCCTAGAATTTGATCACTCAGGAGAAAGTGCATTGGAAATCCTACATCCTCACATTGCACGTACTGAGCCAGCGGCTGCAGCAAACCTTTCTAGAACTCGTGGAGTGAGGCAAGGACTCTGATGGCATCTGAAGGGCACCCCGAAATCAAGATCTCATAGAAACCCAAGGTTTCCCACTTTCACAGGGCCGGTCGATCTCTCGATCGCAAGGAGCCGAATTTTCCTGCTCCTTCTGGTCTTTTCAGTTGCATGGCGCCAAAGCCGCCTGAGTCGAAAAGGGTGCAACCTCTTGGAGGTCCGGACAGAACGAGACCTTTGGTACCGGCCTCCAAACGCCCCAAGCCGACTTCACAACGCCGGGCGAGCCACTGGGTTTGCTAACTTGAGCTTGATGGAATTCCAAACAGAGAGAGGGAGAGAGAGACCTGATATTCACATTTAGACTTGCATTAGCTTGCACAAGTACATGCCATGCAGAGAGAGAGAGAGAGAAAGAAAATGAGACACACACACACACACACACACGCACACACACATGGCACCCGCCCTCCCGGCTGCGGTCTTGGTGGCGTCTTCAAAACGGAAGAGCCATTTGGGGCAGCTCAGCGCTCAAAATGGAAACGGCTGCTGAGAGGGGATGCATCAGCCAGGCCACGAGGCGGCCCCGAGGACCCGCGAGTTCAAACATGAGCCATTAGCACGCCGCAGGCCCCAGGGCTCATTCACCGCGTGAGGCCTTTCGAAGTCCCTTCGCCCAAAGGCAAATGAACCGAATTCGGGCAGGAAGGAAACGCCGAACATCATCTGAAGGATTTCGGTGGCCATGGTTGCAAAATGAGCGAACCCCTACTTCTCACACGCATGGCAGCCTAATGCTTGACAGCAATAGTTGTTGAAGCCAAGTGAAGCCATCGTCAAATATCGCCTGTGCAGCTTCATAGCTGCATGCCTGCACTGCGCCACCTGTAAATGAGTTGCCGGGCAAGCCAAAATCCTTCAGCTGGACAAGATTGGCAGTGCAAAAGCAAAAAACAAGCTGGGGCAGCATTCCGGACAATTTGTGCCTATCTGAAACAACTGCTGACCCTCGGGTCGGAAGCTAAAAGCACAGAAGCTCAGGAAGGAAGAAAAGAGGGCCTCCTTGCATTCAGTTTCCCTGTTTGCAATGCGAGGTGATCGCCGCTCGCCCCTGTTGAGCCCTCGGCCTGTTGTTGCCGTTGCAAATGCTGACCCAACAAGTTCACACAACACCGAATCTGTTGTCTGGGCATTCGCGGCTCGGCTCAAACAGCCAGGGCGCCTGGCCAGACCTACGACACACTCGGGGAGTGGACAAGAGTTGCTTTGCTTCAGGCTTCTCTCGCAAGCCCTCCCCACTCTATCATGTCAATACGGACAACCGTGGTGATAACAAGTTACATGGCATCCGAGGGCAAAAAGCAAACAGTGTTGACTGGAAGCGTCAAGTCGAGTGACAAAACCGTTTCACACGTGAAATGATATTGTGTCTGGTCAGGCATTGGAGTGCACGCGTCCGTCCAAATCCAAGAGATCCAAGGACCTATCTGTGCGGAAGACGCACCAGTCACCAGTCACGAGTTGCACGACCTGTCACACTCTCCATGAGGGCTGCTAGGTAACAGCAAAAGCCCGCCGTGGAGCATCAGGCCTGCCATGCTTGGCTCCTGAATTCTACTGCACTCTGTCCAATGGAAAAGTTCGTCTCACAATGGGCACAAGCCTTATTCGAACTAAACCCGTTGAAAGACGTTGAAGGAGCTTCCAACTTTTTCCTAATCACAGGCGTCCCTTTGGCTAAACAATGACCTTGAACCCCAGTGGAAGAGCCAAGCCATTGGGAGGCCCCTTCCCGCACGCCGGGCATGCCTAGTCGCCAAACCGATAGCCAGGTGGGGGCTAACGGAAGAAATATGTTGGAACCCCCGCCTGGCTGATCTGACACGTCAACTGGTGCTGGCAGTGTATTCACTGAAGCACATGCACGTGTTGCAACCGGGCGGCAAAAGCTTCCTCCAGTCGGTGTCTGGTCACCAGACCTCGCGCACAACATCGCAGGGTACAGAACAGAACATGCAAAAACAAAACAAAAAACTTCGTACTGTCCAGACTTGATTGGACCTCGGCAAGGCGTTGCCAAGACCCTCAGCCATCAAAGCGTGGCCACTACACCAAGCGCGCTCGTTGTGAGCTCAAGAGATCCAACGACCTGTCCAAAGCTGGGCATCAACTCTGCGTCCTCCGGAGAGCTTTCGACAAGTCGCTGAGAGTTTCCTCTGCTTCAAAAGGCCTCGGGGCATCGGCCGGAGAGACAGGGCCAAATCTGCACACACCAGCGCCTTCCGCTTTCAGCTTACGGTTTTTCAGGCCAAAAACCCACTCGTGTTCAACTCGCGACATGGCAGTTGCTAATTTTCGGCAAAACACACACCTGACTCTATACAGTGACTCGGGCGGGAAGGCTTCCCTGGCGGCGCCAATCGCAGAACGGCGCATCACTCAGAGCGCAAAAAGCGGAGGTGTTGTTCTCAAGATCTGCGCTCTTGGCCGGCCGGCGAGGTGCTCACCTGGAAGGGGTGCACCAGGCGAACAAAACTCGGTAATCTTGCTCTGCCTTTTGAGGGACCCAAAACAGAACGACCATCTTACCAACCCAATCTCAGCTGCGATGGGCCTCTTGGCCCCTGTGAGACCTGAGGGCGACTGCTGAAATGCCATGAGTTGCCCAGTTGCCCCAAATGCACCCACGCAATGTCAAGCAATGGCCAAGCCCTAACTTCAAGCACGTTCATATTTCAGGAACTCTCCTAAAATGCAATGCTGGACCCCCCCCCCAAATGGAGGGCCAGTGTGAGGCAAACATCAGAAACAGACAGCGGGCAAGCGTTCTTTCCTTTCTGGCTTGGTGACTTCTGGGCACAGCCTTTCCCCCAGTGCTTTCCCTTCTGCACAAGCTTAGAATCTAAGAAGCGGCCTGCCATGCACGAAAGCTCCCAGCCTATGAAATCGCTGGGATGTAAAACCTTTCCCGAAATTCACATAGGGAGTTCTTGCAATGGGGTCCGATGTTGTCTCAGAGGTTTTGGACTGGATCTCCCGGCACCTCACCAATGGCAAGTGCTTTCCTCGAAGAAGGCGCGCCTCGCGTCACAAGACCACCGGGGAAGCTCTGGACATCTCGTATTCCATGGAGAAGCCAGGTGAGTGTGCAGGCGCGCAAGGCTTTCAAAGGAGAATGAAGAATGCAACTATCTTGCCGGTTAAAAAAGGTATGCTTTATGTAACGAGGCACGTGTTCTACGCCAAGTGCAAAAACATACATGAGGAAGGGCGACAAAGAAAAGGATATTGCAAGCAAAAACTGCGGTCCGGACATATGCGGCAACCCAATAAAGAAAGTTGCGCAGCCATTCCACAGGAAGCACACTTGGCAAACCCACACTATTGCGGTCTGTAAGCTGAAACTTTGTTCTCCGTGCCTGTATTTCTTGGTTGACGAGGCCTGTCAAATGCTTCGGCAGGAAGCTCAATCTTCAAAGCAGCTCTTACACCAAATGCGGGCATAGGAGAAAGACATGGAATACTCTCAACGGCCATAGCTTTCTGCATACTCGCCTTTTGTTTGCCTTTGAGATATCACGAGGCCACTTGTTCCGCTGGCTCTTTCTTGGTCGCAATCCATATGCCACCCTTTCTGGCTGTGTCATAATAAAAGTGCGAACCCCCCTGGATTGGAACCCCCCCCTGGATTGCACCCCAATGTTTGCAAACACCCATATCCTTTAGCAGCTCCGTCCTCAATCTGCTGCGATCGCACTCCTCCGGTGGCCTCCTGCAGTGGCGTGCACGCAAAGCAAGCCGGGCGCGGCGCTCACTTGACAACAGATCTGGAGCAAAACTCATGAATCGGCCGTGAAAGTCCCGCAACCAGAAAAAGCACATCCCTCCGAAGCAACGCAGAAACCGCCAAGTTGTGCGTCATCTCCTGAATTCGCTTATTCTGGAACACACAGTCTTAGAAGAATCTCCGTTTGGATCCGTTCCTCCGCTTTGTCCAATTCACTGGAAAACACCTTCGCAGGAGGCAAGCTTGTCGCCTATCATCGATGGAATCGCCATCCGAGGGGATAGATACAAACCTGGCCGGGCGAGCCGGAAGATCAGCAAGGGCACGCTGGCTCCAGGCAACCAAGGAAAAGGAACCGAAATGGAACCATTGGTTTCCCGTCCCATTGCAAAAAGCCAAGGTCTCGCTGTTGGAGGCTCCCGAACCGAAATCACCTTGTGGGAAACTGCGAAGAAGACCCCCCCCCCCTTTTTCCAAGAGGGCGTCCACAAAAAGGACAATTTGCAAAGCAAGTCGGGGAGAACGTGATCCTCTCACATAAGAATAAGGATTCCCTGAGGAAGTTGTCAGGCAACCCCACAAGCTATCCTCTTTCAAGAATTTCCTAAGCCTCTTGAGAGTGCAAGATGCTGTTGTTGAGGGCCGCTCCTTTCATACCTGCTCAAAGTGGCATGGCCTGAGCCGACACGTCAGTGCTCAAGACTGGGCCTTGCAGAATATGCGGCTGTTCCAGTGCAGCTTTTCTCCCGAACAAGCGCTCCGCAGTGGGCAGAAGACTTATCCTGAAACAGCTCCAGGGGCGACAGTGCCTCTGGAGGCTACTTTCAAACAGTATCAACCTGACACGCGAGCAAAAGCCCGGACGCTGTCTTCAAAATGGATGACAAGGCGCCTTGGAGAGTCTTGGATTCCAACCAAAACTGTACGGAAGGATATGGAGCCCGAATAATACCTACCCCTTGTATAGCCAGTGTGTATGGCTACCCCTTCTTCAAATGTTGTACAACAGTCAGGGAGTTGTCGCGGATAAGAAGATTGCAACCTAAACTACAAACCCTGCTGAGCCAAAAGCTGCTTCCATCTGCAGAAAAGGTTTCGTTGGCACTGAAAGTGAGCAAAGATCTAAAGAAGTCCACGGCGGGCCATCTGAGTGGCGCCTCCTCGTTCGATAAAGTGCCAGGCTGGATGTAGTCCTTGGGCTAGATTGGGCGATTCTTGAATGGTTGCTAAGAAATGGCTCCTTTTCTCAGCACGGTCACAGATGGGAACCTGTTTGCTAGAACCCATACATGGTACATCCACACCTGTGTGAACAAACCAGATGTGCAGGAAAGGGGACTGAGTCCCACAACTGCAGTGGTCGCGCCACTATAAAACAGGGTGGGGAATTGCAACTGTGGTACCTGGTTGGCTCATCAATGACAAGTTTCACATAAAAGGAGGTTGGTATGACAAAATTTGGACCCACCCCCACGACTCTGCAAGAAAGGTTTTTTCTTCTTGGAATGATTCCTTCTGGGACCTAGCAGCTCTGGCAATGGATTGCATGCCTTGTTCTGGAGGATCTGCGAAAAAATGTCTTGTGCCTTTGGTGGACATGTTTTCTGGGATTGAGACCCAAGCATGCACTGTTCAGGCACCTTCCCCGCAATTAAAACCTCACTCGAAAAGACCAGGCACGCGTGTGCGCTCCCATGTTCGGGATGCGGACTGAGATCCACTGGCTCGAAAGATCCGACAGTCTGACTACTAATTGCCTGCGTTGTTGCGGAGAAAAAGTTGTAGTTGCCTGGAGCAAGTGTGGTAATGTTTCTTACTACCAGGGAAGATGTTGTTCTCCTGGAACATCTGCTTTTGAAATAGATTCTTCCGGAATGCCAAGCATGGTTGCTGAACGCAAATTGCGCTGAATCGATTCACCGCGCGCTCCCTCTGCAAAGGATGGGCTGGAATCCACGCAGTTCAAACTGATGGAGGATTGAGTTCGAAGCGGGCTGTCCCGTCGCCGGACAAGAACGCAGCTAAACCTCCGTTTTCGTATTGGTCCTACAGAGATGGTGTATATATTGGGACACACACATCCTCAGAGTGCGGCCGAGCCTCATCTCGTCCACGCTCCATTGTGCGGAGTCCTCTCGAGACGAGACGCTGGTTCTGCAGGACCTTGGCTCGCATGGCTCATGCCGAAAACTCCCTTGCAACAAACAATGTCGGCGGGATTTCTACGGAACGAAAGGCTGGGACAGGGCCGATGCTAGGCGCGCTCGGCTTCTGCATTTGCAAGAACCGCCTTGTGATAGGGGCACACAGGGGCAAGGCAAACCCAGGAGGCACGTACGTCATGGGACATCAAGCGTCTTGGATGCGATGCGAGCGTGCTTCATCTTGCACCAATTGGCCCTATCGTGCAAGCGAAGCGAATCAGGCAACCCTGTGGTTTGGATTGGGTGGATTCGACCCCTGGCTTTTGAGGGAGCAAACCTCTTCTCAAACAAATCCAAACCAAACCAAGGGCAGCTCGAAGGGAGCAAATGTCGCAAGAGTTATGGATCAACCAGAAGCGGTTCTTTGGCATGCGTCAAGATTGGGGGAACGGCGGAAATGGCTTTTCCTTTACGTCCCCCGAGAAAAACAAAAGAATGGGGGGGATCAGTGAACATGACTGGCTTCTTGTTGGGTTGCCTTTTAACCCGAAGAAAGACACAGCATCCCCGCAACAGAATGCTGTTGAGAGCTCAGGAACGCCATGCCAGCCTAACATGGTGGTCCCAAATCTTGCAAGTTTTACGTCTCAAGCTTTGAAGGCCCTTCAAGGCGCCTCATCCAATACTTTTTGAGCCAAGGGAGCCAGCAGGCGGCCCATGACGCTAGTAGGAGTTTGAACTTGGCTTGCAAAAGGGGTGAGAGATATTGCAGACGAGAGTGCCAAAAGCCCAGTTTTCATTCCTTAGTGCTGGCTTGCTCCTCCCATTGGGATTCCTCGTTTTGCTCACCTCAAATCATGGCCTCTCACACTTTAGCCCATCCAGGTGCCGGATCCAACATTCATGTGCGCTTCTCCAGCCAAATGCGGGAACAAACATATGTCATGATTTGACTGCCCAAACACTCGAACACTGCTCCAACATTCTCAAAACAAACCCTAAGCCTATTCCGAACCAAAACCCAAAGCAACCCAAATCCATGCGAAACACAAAAAAACAAGGCAACAGCTGAAACATCTCGAAGCTGACCCACTACACCAACCCCAGGCACACCCTAAGTTTACTCCAGTCTGCTTTAAACAACCTCAGCGCCTTCCCTAATTGTGAAGCCCACATCCACCTTCAACCTATCCTAATAACCAAACCTCTCCGTCAGACGCAATACCGGCAATACCTTAATCTATCGACTTCAAAGTTCACCACTCTTGGCGGAGAACCGTTGTAGTGAACTCAGATCTTACAGAGTGGAAGCATAGGTTGCTTGTCTATACAAAAATACTAGCTTGCTGATGCGAGACGGCTGATTGCTTCGCGCTGACAACCATGCTGAAGCCGCTGCCCATGGGTCAACCATTAGCCATCTGGACAAGATGGATCGAGTCAAACTCTGAAAGCATCCCTGCCTGTCATCCAGGCGCGTTTCCTCATCTGAGCCGTAGCCTCGGCCAAGTCCGAACTGGCAAGTCGCAACGGCCTTCCACTGAGTCGGTGACTGCAACCCTTTTCCAAGAGCCATGGTCACGACGGCTCTCAACGAGGCTACGTTGTCACAAGGAATCGTCTTGCCGAGGCACTGCGCTGCCTGCAGATCTTCTCCAATTGCCGCGGGCCCTCGTTCCTTGGAACAAAGGGGACACGTGGCTCATGCAAAGCATGCAAATGCTGCAAAATCATACCAAGCAGCGCAAAAATTGTGTGAACTTCCTTTTGTTCAGGCTGAAGGATCGCGATGCTCGCGGTATGACAAAACATGGGAGCAATTGCGGAACTGGGTTTGATTTGATGGGCAGCCTTGCTTGCATTCAGCTCCGCACAGCTCATGCCTGACGTAACCAAGCGATGGCTGCCCACAATCTAATCCTGCATCATCTTTCCCCAAGGTCTTTCAACCATTTAGTGAAGGACCTTGTCAGCTGTGCTGTCCAGGAATTTCTCCCACTACAAATAGCTTCCTAAACAACAACCTTTGCTCCCACCATGGATCGTTCTGCCATGGGTCTGAAACGGCGAGAGGTTCAAACAGCAGCAGCTGCCAACGCACCTCACAGCAGTCATTTGCAAATGAGAAATGAAGCAATTCAAACCAAACCGTGCTTAAGACACGCCCAGCAGTTCCGCTGGAAGCAAAGCCATCAGCGGCATAGGCACCAAATAAGGCTGCCACAAGCATCGTCCATCCAGGATGACATTCTTGGATCTGATTGGCATTCTGAACACTCCAACTACCCTGGACAAGCTTGAGCCAAAGCACTTCCACAAAAACTGACTTCGAGTGCAAAAGATTTTGTGGAGGAAGCAAACACACCATGGTTTCAGTGAGCAACTTTCCGGACTTTTCCGACATACCGTGCGCGATCGCCCTCTCAGCGGAACGCGCCCTCCGAGCTGGGGTTAACTTACACAACGGGCAGTGATGCCCAAGGTGCGCGTTGGCACTCCACAAGTCGCCAAGAACAGAGTACCAGCCACATTGCGCGGCTGGGGCGCCGCAAGGTGAACCACAAATGCTCAGCGCTCTCCTGAGATGTCCAAGAACAGAGCATCAACCGCTTCGCGCGATTGCGCGATTGGGACGCCGCAGGGTGAACCAGGAGAAACAAGTGCTGTGCCAGGGCACTCTGTTGAGCAAAAGCGCCATAGGCAGCGTGTTCCAGTCGTAAACGCACTAGATGTCATGACCGCCGGTAAGCCAGCGAGTCTGTAGCACCAGTCTGTACTGCACAACTTGGATTGGATTAGATTGGATTGGAGGGCGGCCAACGGGAAAACCCGCGGCCAGGGAGCACTTCCACTGACTCGCCAGAAGGCTCCGTAAACGTCATTGCCCTCATGCGCCAGCTTCTAATGTCCCAACACAAAGCCAACAACCGCTAGTTAAGGCCACAGGGGCTCAGCAGCAAACGCAAGCGCGAGCCTTTTCTGCAAAAAAGACGGACCGAGTCAACCTCCCTGGCCACCCGCAGGCGGAGCCGGCCAAAGGCCGGGGTGCGCAAGGACACTCGCGAGCGCCCACCACTGACCTCCTGCATGATGCGGCGCACAAGGTCCTCGTCAAGGAAGCCTCAGCACCGCTTCACCGGATGGGTGCTGGACCAGAGAGAGCAGCTGGGAGCCGAGCCAGATGGCACGCAGCGCCTGATGGAAGGAACGACAGAAGCAGGCGGGTGAGGGCCGCCGACGCTTTGCACTCTCCGACGCCTTGCACCCTCGTGGGAGGTGGCCCGAGCACCGCGGCCGCGGTCGTGGTCACGCCGATGGCTTTGTGGGGGGCCGCCCACGAGCACGTGCCGCAGCATCGCGACCGCCGGAGGGCCGGTTGAAGCCTGAACCAGGTGCATGTTGAGGAGGACCAGAACGAGGACCTTCACGTCGAGGTACAGGAGCAGGGCCAGAACGGGTGCGAGGAGGCTGTGAGAGGGCAGCAGGGCGCGCTGCCTTCCCTTGGCCCGTGTTGGGTCACCATTGAAGACTGGCCGCAGACACACGAGGCGCTGGCGAGCGAGACCGGCAGGCACCACGGCGGGCACAGCGGGCACAGCAGCGGCAAGCAGCGGGCACAGCAGCGGCAAGCAGCGGGCAAGGCCGCTGGCAGGCCCTGGGGGCCAGGCTGACCCCGAAAGAGCTCGTCCAGCAAGCGCTCTGCAAGAGTGAGGGCCAGACCCAGCGCGCGTTGCGCTTGAAGCCGCATTTGGTCATCCATGGCGCGGGTGGCCTAAAGCTAATGGGCACACTGACTGTTGTTGAGCAGATCTGCGCATATCCAAGACCTGAAACCGTGCAAACAGCAAACCACAAAAACACAAGCGGCCAAAAAAAAAGGAAGGGAAGGGGGAAAAAACAGGCACAAGAGAAGGCGAAGGAAGAGCAAGGAAGGAAAGAGGAGAAGGGGGCAAGGAAAGCAAATGTACTGTACAACCCTACAGCGCATGATCGCGGCCATGCTCCCAAACCACTGGCTCAAGTAGAAACTGACGGCCCATCGCCCCTATGGCACTTCCACAAGAACAGGAAGCGGAAGCCCGGCACTGAGGCAACCAACGCTGCAATCGCATACGCGGGAGAAAGCAGCCCCTTGCTCCAAGAAAACTTGCCCGCGCTTCATATCATAAACAAGCTACAGGAACACACAGAGCTCATACGTGTTCAAAGCGAGCAGTTCCAAATTCTTCACAGACCAAATGCTCTTGCTTGGCTCTTCCCTGAACCTTTCGACCCGAGAAAAGGGCGCAAAGGAGCTGGCACGCGCGCCGCGGTTGAGATAAGCCTAGTCAAGTGTAGCCCCCTTTTGGTGTAGGCAAAGAAGAGCACACAGAGACTGCAAAGAGTCCACGGCAATGAAAACCAGACCTGCAGCATGAACCACTGGCCCGTTCCCAAAGCGCTCCAAAATCACAGAGATGTAATGCAGGATGTAGGCCGCACGCAAGGCACCTCGCGCGCCCACTGCGCGACTGCCACGCGAGCCAGGCAAAGCACCAGGACCATGAACAGCCATACAGCGATCCAGCAGACATTTGGGCCTCTCCATCTCGAAGCAGGACCTACACCACGCTGCACCCACCCTGTAGATCATCGCAAACGGCGCCCCGAGCGATCGGTTTGCGCGGCCCATTCTATGGTAGGTTGTTTGGGCCAGACCTTCAGTGAGCAACTGAAATCTCAAATGCCTGTCCTTTTTGTTTGCAATCCTCTGACGAGAAACATCCCATGAATGATTTCATGCAGGCCCTTGGGTAGTGAAAAAAAAAGACTTGCACGGCATGAGCATAAAGGCTTTTGTTTTAAAAAAAATGGCGCAACAGTCAATCAGACGTATGTCGGCGTGGCTACAAACGAACAAGCTCATTCACGTGATGCGTCAATAAGTTGGTGTCGCGAGTGTCTGAAATGACGAGCCTGCTGACAGAATGTGGGTAGGTCTGCACGATTGAATGTTTTTGTGGTTTGGACGCAGCAAGAAACACAGAAGTGGCTCTGCTTAGAGCCGTTGAAGTTTCTAGGAAGACCACCCCTCAACATCACGTGGACCCTTTCGCTCCATCGACCTATCAAAACTGAGCGTGTTTCGTTGGAGGAAGCTTTGTTAAACACCCATCAGTTCACGGAGACACGCAAAGCGTCTTCTAAAAACAACTGTTTTTTGTTGACAAGGCAAAAAGTGTCCTGCTAACTTCCCGGACGATACTCGACTGCCGAAATTGCCACTAAGCTGCATCATTCGATTCGGAACAGAAACTCTATCCGGCCAACAATTCAGTTGACACGTTATTGCTGAAATTGACAAGTCTAGCTGTGTTCCTTCAAGTCTGTTTTTTGTTGCAGCGGGAAGGTTCCGTCGAAACGCACACTTCGTGGGATCAGGGCAAGTCGACGCGCCCAATTTCCTGTGTCATAGATTGAGTCTCAGATTCGCGCCGTCCAACCAAAGAAGAACAAGTTGGAGGCTGTTCTGCCAACGGCGAGGCGCTTTCAAGCAAACGATTCCGTCTTCGTTGGTAGTGCTGGTGCACAAGAACAGCGGGCGTGATCCTGTAGGATTCTGTCTATGGCCGCGGACACTTTGCTCCTTGCAGCCTTGGTTGAGTTGCGGTGACGACGGTCCCGCCAAACACAATGCAGGCAGAAGCGAAAACACCACTCCCCAGTGGCACCTAAGCCCAGCAGCCGACCGACAGTCCCAAACGACACAGCAACAAGCCAAACAAACCAATAAAGCCTGTCAGTTCGAGCCATGTCCCGCGAGTTTTCCTCCCTACAAAAAAAAACGCTTAAGGTACACTAGCAGGCGCAAGATTGCACGAAATGCCATTTCCGGTGGGGCCCTTGCAAAAGCTCCAATTTTCTTGTGGTTGCAAGCCGGCTGCTCTGGCTTTGGCCAAAATCTTCCTTGTGCGTTCCACAAGCCAGGCCGGCGCACAGTTTTCTTCAACTTGGAGCCACAGCAACAGCCGTACAATTTGCCACAATCTGAACAAGCACGCACGGCAAAAAGCTTGTTAGCAAACAGGTGGTGATTTGGATCGCTCACCCGGCTGGCCACCCAGGAATATTTTTTGGACTCGGGGGCCAACAATCAACTCCACAGCTCCCGCAATTCGTCGCCTGTCTTCCCAGTGCTTCCCAGCGCTGTTGCAGTGCTGTTGCCGCTATTGCTCACTGTTCGTGCGCCTGCCACGCAAAATCACCGAAAATTGCAAAATCACAGAAAAACAGGAACTGTTCTTCAAGCAAAACTCAAGCTGCGACTTGGCAACCACCCACGCCGAGGGGCAAGTTTAAAGCTTGCTGCCCCCCTTCCAGAACGGTGCCGCCAAGCGGTAGCTTGAGCTCCTCTCCAGCGGCACCAACCTGCCTCAAAATAACGGCACCGTGTCACATCTTTTATTCGTGCAACTTAAAAATTGTCTGTCGACGTTGAAGCGCTGCAGCAGAACAACATTGACATCGGGGGCACGGGCCCACAATCTACAGCTCCCGCAAAGTGCCGCCTGTCTTCCCAGTGCTTCCCAGCGCTTTCCAGCGCTGTTGCAGTGCTGTTGCCAGTGCTGTTGCCACAAGCGACGACTTTGCGTGGCAGGCGTGAGAAGCGAGCAACCGCACAGGCAACAGCATTGGCAACAGCACTGCACCGAAAAGCGCTGGGAAGAGCTGAGAAAGACACGAGCCGGCGACCTGCAACGCGAAACCACCCACGCAGGGGCAAGTTTAAAACCTGCTGCCCCTCTTCCAAAACGGTGCCGCCAAGCGGTGCTGACAACCATCGAGCTCCTCTCCAGCGGCACCAAGCAGAAATTTGCAAATTTACTTACTGAAAGCCAAAGTTGCTCGAACTCTTTGATTCATCTTGTCTAAATCATCTAACTTGTATTGTTGTTTTGTTCGATGTTCAGCTTCTCTATTGACACATTTATTTTCTCTCTGATGGATGTCCCCCTTGATAATAATTCTTCCCTGCTGCTGCACGAGTATAACTCTAAAAGCTCTATCTTGCAATTTTCAGCACCATACACTTCAAACAACGAACACAAAATTCAATTGATACTTGCCATTCAGAAACGCTTTGTATTTTTTCTATGTTCTTCAAGCCCTTTGCTCAATGGTTGAATAGTTCAACCTATATAACATTTCATGAAATTATGTTCCCATATTTTGTAATTTTTACCCTTTTGTATAATCAGGCATTATATCACTATATTTATATTTGCAAATTTACTTTCAAATACTTTTTCAAGTCGTGAAAAGTGGCACTTAATGTAACTGGAATAGAAGGGAGAAAACACCGTGAAAATCAATTAACTCGTTCCGACTAGTAAATATTGTTAAGTGTAATTGTTGTTGTCTCCTACATCAATAAAATCTGCACAAGATGGCGATTGAAAATCTGTCAAAACTCCCAAGCTGTTGCTTGATATGAACTGCTCTTATTACTGCACTACTGAAACTATTAGGTGTTGAATATTTGTGGTTGCTTCATTGGGCGCAATGTATAAAAACATCAGCAACGGAACTAAATTAAAATATCCACTTAACCAAGATGTCGCAGGTTCATATACTTCATCATTACTTAATAAATTCGAAACATGCAAGGCCATGCACAAAGCCAGGGTACACATCACCGAGGTGAGCTCCCACATGCTAAGAAGGGACCCAAGGGTCATTTCCTTAGCAAAACCAGTACAAGCAAAAGAGAGGAGGGTGAAACAGGGACCGGGTGCCAGAGGCACCAGTCCAGGTTGACTGCAAAATCGAGAGCCGGAGCAACTGTACAGCGCTCAAAGGCCTGTGAACGCTACGCCTGGAGACATCTCAAATGTCGAACACCAGGCTGCCTTTCTCGCAAGCCAAAACGTCTGGTGGTCGAAACTCCAAGTCAGTGTAAGGCCAGCATCACGGTTAGGGAATGGGCTCCCTGTGCATAGCAAGGCAAGGCATCGAGAATTGCCACACCATCAACACGGCTGCGCGAAAGAAAAAGTAGTTCGCCACAGCAAAAATGATCCAGAAAGGAAAAGGGGGTGGTAATCCAAGTTCAGCATGGGAAATCAAAATCAGCGCCACAGAAAAGAATCAAGGTGTCCAACACAAGCCCAGTGAGGCACAACAGCTGTCATCATGTACCACCCTGAAAAAATCCCGGGAACGTACCCCGCAGTACGTCACTGAAAAGTCTGTGAAATAAAAAGTCTCGCAAGTGTCAGCCGACCCGTCGGGCAACTGTACCAGGGACCCGAGAGGCCTGAGAAGCATCCGCCAAAGTCCAGGCCAGGGCACTGCTCCGAAACCGCTTCGGGCGTCGGGTCACTGCACCGCCAAAAAGAAGGGACTTTCCAAAGAAAAGTACCTGTTGTGCGAAACTGCACGCCAGCAAGCGTCCCAGTCCTCTGCGCGGCGGAAAGTTAGAATTTTGATCACTGCTTCAAATCCGCAAGGGAACATGCAGCCAAAGACAAGAGTACGACTGACAAACATGTGCGCATGCTCTTTTTCTTTTCTTTATGAGGCGTTGCTTGGAAGTTGAGGATTGGGGGTGCAGGGGGAAAGACAGCGCGTGCTCTTTCCCCGTGTCTGCACCCTCTGCGGAGCCTCCTCATATGCCCGGTCAACAATGCGTGTTCGACCAGACGCCAGGTGTGTTACCTGTGAGGCGTGAGACAATCGAAGGCATTGGTGGCGTTGCACGCATCCGGCTGGTGCGCAATG